TTCCCCGTTTCTTCCTCTATGGCTCTCTCAGTCTGTCTGGCGAGCGCACGTGCCCTATAGTGAAAAAAAACCCTCAAAAAAAAAAAAAATAGAGGAAGAAGAAGAAGAAGAAGAAGGAGGAGGAAACCGCCTTGTAGCTTCCTACTATACCAGTGCCTCTCAACTCTAGCTACGCATACATGTTAGAATTGTTTAGAGAACTTTTAAATAAAAATACTAGACCAGTTTGATGCTCTAATTTATCAGGGGGAAAAGTCATTATGTTCATCCAGATTGATTTGTCGAACATTTGCTAAAGACTAGTTCTTGGGGCCAGCAGGTGGCATGGTGGTTAAGACGCTGGACACTCTCACATGGTCGACCATAGTTTGAGTCCCGGACCTGATGGTTTGCTTTCTCACGGTCCTGTGTGTGTGTGTGTGTGTGTGTGTGTGTGTGTGTGTGTCTAGTCAAATTAAGATGAATGAATGAATAAATTAAATTAAATAATTTTTTTTAAAGATGAGATCTTTTTATTCATTCATTTTTTGCTATGTGGCGCATGCACTTGCTGGAGACAGGGAGAAAGGGAAAGTGAGAAATCACCCTGTAGCGAGGATGACCATGCCACAATCTCTTCTCTTCCACTTTCCTCTTGAAATTTTGGGCACACACACATTCCCAATGTGATTTTTCTTCTTTTTTTCCTTTTTTTTTTTTTGAGAGGTTTTTGCTATAGGGTGTGTGCACTTGCCAGAAAGAGAGACAGAAAGCGAGAAATTACCCCCCAGGGGGATGGCCATGCTGCAATCCTTTCTCCTCCATTCTCCTCTCAAGATCCTGGGCACGCACACACACGCACCCAGTGTGAATTTAAGCCGAACTGGGTCGACTACATGGGAGTCCAGCGACATAGCCATTACGCCAACTGCTGGTTCCCATGATATGAATTTTCAGGCCACCGGGTCCAGGACTCAAACCTCAGAATCAGGTTATGAGGGATCCAGCCACCTTCATCGCCACATCACCTGTTAGCCCAAGACTAGTTCTTTAAGCCATGACATATGATGAATCCCAAATGGCAGTACCTTATTAATTTCGCTTTTGTACTTATATTTTTCAAGGAAAAAGATACTACCGTAAATAGTCAAGTTATGTATTGTATATAACTCTATGACTGTTGGCAATGTCATCTGGGAAGAACAGATAAATAAAATTTACTATTTAAAAAAAAAATACCAGGCCGGACTGTCATACAAAGTGATAACACAACAGGACCCACATTGGAAAGCCCTGGGTTTGCTTCCTGGGGCCTCTGTACACACCAGGCACTCGTGCCCGTAATCCCGGCAGGCAGAGAGTGCGGGAGGATCACAGCGTGAGGATCCTGTTGGTAGTACAATCTTTTGCTCTCAAAATAATAAAATATATCCTGGATTGAATCATGAAGCTGAGAAATGACATTAGTGGGAAAATTAATGAAAACCAAAACTCTGATTAAGTCTGTAGTTCAGATAATTATAATGTAAGTATCTTAATTTTTTAGTGTTTTTTTTTTTTTGAGAGGTTTTTGCTACAGGGTGCACGTGCTCGCCAGACAGACAGAGAGAGACAGAGAGACAGAAAGTGAGAAATCACCCCCCAGGGGGAATGGCCACGCCGCAATCCCTTCTCCTCTATTCTCCTCTCGGGATCTTGGGCACGCACGCACATGCGCCCGGCATGAGTTTACGCCACTGGGTCTGGGACTCAAACTGCAGTCGACTACGTGGGAGTCCAGCGACATAGCCATTATGCTAACTGCTGGTCCCTTAATTTCTTAGTTTTGAAGATGGTAACGTTAGGGTAAACTTGGTAGGAGGAATGTAGGTATTTTTGGACTGTCTCACAATGTTTCTGTAATTCTAAAATCATTTCTTCAAAAAGATTATTTAAAGCATAAAACAATTCAAAAATTGTTTGAGTTCCTGGATATCAGCCTACATAGGTGAGTCAGAATCACGGAGGAAGAGTCTGGGATTTCTGAAATCTTCCTCAGTGATTCTACCGTACCATGAGGGCTGAGAGAACCGCTGCAGTAAACCATGAGTGCCTAAGGGCCTGGGACCCCATCTTGTTCTTCCATGTAGCCAACGGCCTGGTTCATTGCCTGCATGAAGAGCTTGTGTAACTATATCCTTGCTGAACTTTATTTACAAAAATCTTCTTTACTTTTATTCCTGTGTAATAATAGAAGGGGAAAAAAATGGAAATAAACAAACAAAATGCCAACGGAGACTTCCAGACATCATCTGACCCAGAACAGTTACTATTCCTGTCCAAGTCTCATCATTTTCGATATCTTGACCATTATCACTCTGTTTGTCATACTCCTGAAATACTAAAACTGCCATACCTTTGTTCAAAAATTGTAGTTTCCCCTTATCTAACAAGTGGAATACTTCATTAGCTTGAATTTAGTTCAAATTTCTCTACATTCTGTCTGATAATAGGTCGTCAGGAAAGTCATGGCAAATTTTCTATGTTCTTCTATGCAAAAATGCATCATGACTTTCCGGTGACCCAATAGATCACCTGCCTAGTAAAAGATGTTTAGTATGTAGGGAACCAGCAGTTAGCGTAATGGCTATATCGCTGGACTCCCATGTAGTCGACCGCGGTTCGCGTCCCAGACCCGGTGGCTTAAAACTCACACCGGGCGCGTGTGCGTGCGTGCCCAAGATCCCGAGAGGAGAATGGAGGAGAAGGGATTGCAGCGTGAACATCCCCTCTGGGAGATTGATTTCTTGCTTTCTGTCTCTATGTCTCTTTGTCTGTCTGGCGAGCGCACGCGCCCTATAGCAAAAAAAACTCCCTAAAAAAAAAAAAAAAAGATGTTTACTATGCAAACCTACTGTTCCATGTGACCCCACAGTAACCGTAGTTTGCATGCAGTTCAGTTGAACATATCAAACTCGCACTTTTCTGTGTCACACAATAATAGTGCTCTCCTTAGGCATACAAACCTCCTACATCTGTCATGGCTAAGGCTCCACTCAGGGGGGCTAGCATGTGGTATGGTGGTTAAGACACTGAATTCCCATATGGGCAACCACAGTTCAAATCCTGGACACCGTGGCTTGAAAATCACAAGTAAATGGATAGATACGTAAATAAATAAAGGCTCTACTTATATGTACTTTTTTTTTTTTTTTTACTTTTTCAACCCACCCCAGCAAAAAGTGAGCATTCACTGTGATGTATCTACTATTCAGATGGTCCTAGCATTTACTATTTACTTTTGTAATTATTCGTTTTATTCCCCCATAACATTAAACTTCTGGTGGGCAAGGACTAACCACCCCCACAGTGCTTACTACAGTTCACACAATTAAATATGTAATAACGATTTAATATATATTCTGAACAAATACAATATTTTAAAAGTACAAGTAGAAAATCAAGATTCAAATTCAAAAGTAAACTACATTCATCACTCCAAATTACTTTTTAAGGAGTTCCAGAATAAGAATTGTTAAAATTAACTAGAAGACAACAAAAGCCTAAATAGAATCATGATGTTATTGTTACATTAATAATTGAGCAAAGTTTACAAGAAAACTATAGACTCCCCCTAAACTTTAAGTGTTCATACTTAATCACTTATCCACTCTTAAGAATTAATCAAATCAGAAAAAAATCAGTAATTCAACCCTCCCCTTTCCTTACTTATGTTTTTCCACCAGTCTTCTCCCCTACACACACACACACACACACACACACACACACACACACACACAGTAACAGGATATTGTCTGTGAGTAGAACCTAAAAAATGTTAGTTCTCTATTTCAGACATTGCATATAAGTGGAAAAAAGACAAAGTTAAAATATTAATGAACATTGTTGAGCGTTCTCCAATATTTCAGAAAAAATACACATAAAATATTAAGATACACATTTCATCAGATTCCAACTTTATGGCTGAGTATTGTCAGAACAAAACATAACTAAAGACATCGTTTTCTGGACGCATCTCCTGAGAAATGTTCCGAATTGTTGGTATTTCCGGCTCTTCTGCTTTGAGTTTTTCTTTTGTTTCTGTAAAATCAAACAAAATACAAAAATAGATTCAATAAAGAGTACCGGGATAATTGATTATCTATTTGTGTACCTACTTCACACCAGGCACGAAGATCCTACCTCACACTGTGCACAGAAATAGATTTCAGATGGCTTAAAGATTTAGATAATAAAATACCAGGGTCAGCTGGTAGTATGGTGGTTAAGGTGACTGGATCCTGCATGGCCAACTGCATGGTTCAAGTCCTGGCCCTGGCAGTGTGAAAAACATGCTAGGCATGTGTGCAACTGTGTCCAAAATCCTGAAAGGAGGGAGAAATGGAGAAGGGATTGCAGCATGACCATCCTCCATGGGAGGTGCTATCTCACTTTCCCTCTCTGTCTCTCCATCTCTCTGTCTTGCCAGTGAGCACGCATGCACTCTGGCAAATTAAAAATAGAATAAAATTAAATACCACTGGGGCCAGCAAGTGGCGTGATGGATAAGGGTGCTGGACTCCCACATGGCCGACCACGGTTCAAGTCTCAGAGCTGGTGGCTTGCTTTCTCACTTTCCCTCTCTCACTCTCTCGCTCTCTGTCTTTCTGGTCAAATTAAAAAAAAATTAATTAAATGAATGCATAAATAAAATTAAATAAATAATTCTTTTTTAAAAAAGAATAAAATTAAATACCATAAATGTTATAGGATAATAGTTTTTGAAACCTTGGATCAGCAGGTGGCAGGATTGTTAAGGCACTTGATCCCCATAAGGCCTACTCCATGGTTTGAGTCCCAGACACGATGACTCAAAAAACATGACAGGTGTGTATGTGTGCCCAAAATTCCAAGAAGGGATTGTGACATAGCCATGCCCCGAGTGATTTCTCACTTTCCCTAGCTCGCTCTCTCTGTCTCTCAAAGTACATTTCATGACTAAATATTCTAGCCCCTCTAAAATTCTAACTGTGCTATATTTGCCCATTTATTCAATAAATATTTTTTAGAAGTTTATTTACTTATTTCTTCCTTGAGAGAAAGGAATAGAGAGAATAAGGGGGGGCACCCCAACAGGGTCTTCACGCCACTATCTACCTCTGGTCTCAGCTGGTCCAGGTTATAGACACTCCTGTGGGAGCTCATGCACGCTCAGGAGGATTCTCAAGATGTGAACCCAGGATCTCTCCTACATGGGTTCAGTTGCTATTAACACTATACAGCCTCCTATCTTTGCATTTTAATGTTTTCACCTAGCAGAGAGGCAAAGATAATGTCATCCTGTGCAGTGCTGTCAAGGGTATGGGGGAAGGTACTGATATAAACTCTGACTGCATTTCTGGACATCAGTCTGACTACAGGTATCCAAATGTTAAATGTGGGTACTCTTTGGCCCAGCAATTCCACTTCTAGGGTTTGATCCAAAGGAAATAATCAGACAAATGTAAGCTTCCAGTGCCCTACTTTCCTTATTTATAACATGGAGATTTTTTTTATCCAATCTGGCTTTTAACATTGAACAAAATAATTCACATAAGATAATTAATACTGTGTCTGGCACATAGAAAAATGCCAAATAAACATTACTCTCAATGATATTCATTGAACATTGTTGTAATAGTAAAACTTAGCAGTAACAGAAGTATTCATCATTGTAGGGATTGGTTGAATGACTTACTGTAAATATATACAACAGTAATACTATGCGGTTCTTACAAAAGATGTCATAAAGATGCCTATAATATTGAACCAGCCCGTAGCTTAATGATTAAGGAGACTGGATCCCTCTGGCTGACTGCACAGTTCGAATCTAGGCCCAGTGGCTTGAAAGAAAAACTAGGTATGTGTATGTATGCTCAAAATCCCAATACAATGGAGAAGGGGAGAGGATTGCAGCTTGACCAACCACCCCATGGGGGGTGGGGGGTGCTTCCTCTTTCTCTGGTGAGCACATGTACCTTCTGACAATTAAAAAAAAAAAACGAATTACAAAAAAAGTACCTGTAATACGTATTGTAAATAGAAAAAATAAATTACAGAATGTATTGTCGTATTTCATTTGTTAAAACAAAACAATCTCAACACTGGGAATTGGTAACAGGAGATGGTTCAGAGTAGGCTTTTACTCTACAGTCAATTACATATTGCTTTAATTTATTACAGTGAACATTCATTACTTTATAATAAGCAGAAAAATGCTAATCCCATTTGTTTGGTGAGAGAAAACTACTTTTGCAAAAAAAAAAAAAAAAGATAAAATCAAAAATAAAATGAGCATAATTAATTGCCCACATTGATCTTGCTAGGTTTAGAATTAAACTGTTAGAAACTAGGCCACCATGTTGATTAGAGCTACTTCTCCAGCAAGGGACTCCCATCTGTTCACTCATATGTCTGTTTTTTTTTTTTACTGAAATGCATACTTTTAAACTATTTCCTCAAAATCTACTTAGACTCAAGTAACATCATGTCTTCATTGCACTTATCTTTTAGGAGAAAGAGCAAATAAAGTACCACAGGGCTTTCCTTAGAAAATAGTGTCCTGGGGCCAGCAGGTAGTATGATAGTTAAAGCACTGGACTCCCACATGATAGATTGTGGTTCAAGACCCAGACTTGGTGTCTTGCTTTCTCACATTCCCTCTCTCTCTCTCTCTCTCTCTCTCTGTCCAAATTAAAATAATAATAATAATAATAATAATAATAATAATAATAATAATAATGATAAATCAAATTGAATAAACAAGTCAGAAAGAGAGAGAAAAAGAAAGAGAAAGAAAGGAAGAAAGGAAAGAAAGGAAAGAAAGAAAGAGAGAAAGAAAGAAAGAAAGAAAGAAAGAAAGAAAGAAAGAAAGAGAAAAAGAAAGAAAGGAAGAAAGGGAGGGAGGGAGGAAAGAAGGAAGGAAGGAAGGAAGGAAGGAAGGAAGGAAGGAAGGAAGGAAGGAAGGAAGGAAGAAAGGGAGTGTCTTGGGGACAAAGAAGGTCTGAGAGAATTGTCCCATTTCTTTCCTTTTTTTTTCTTCAAAGAACACACATACATATTCTTGGGATGTGTGTGTGTGTGTGTGGGGGGGGTGTTTTTGTTTTGTTTTGTTTTCAGGTATATTAATCCATTTCCTCTGAGAGAGAAAAACAGAAAAAAAGAGAGACAAGCACCTCCAACAGGGTCCCAAACTATGATCCCAGTCTCAGCCAGACTGCATCATAGACACACATGTGTGCCCCCAGTATGTAGAGGGAGGCCCTGAACCATGAACCTGGAACCTTCCTGTGTAGGTCCAGTTGTGTTACCTGTCACCATCTGGTTCTCTACAGTATTGTACAAATAGCATTGAGGGCCTCAGTTATATCCCTGAGGCAAGTCAATTAAAGAAAGGTTATATTATTTTCATGCTTAGGGGGCCAGCAGGTAGCATGGTGGTAGACACTGGATCCCACATAGCCAACTGCATGGTTCGAGTCCCAGTCACCCCTCTCACCACCCAAAATTACATCCCCACAGTGTGACTGCTCAAAACCCAGAGAGGAGACTGGAGGAGACAGGATTGCAGTGTGGCCATCTTCCAAGGGGTGATTTTTCTCTCTCTCTCTCCCTGGAGAGTGCATGTGCTCATAGCAAACTTTTTTAAATTATGTTTTTTTTTTTAAGTGCTATGCTTAGAAAAAAGCTTTTCCAAACCAAATACTGAAATTGAAAGATTTTAGTAAACCCAATAAACTGTATGAGTTCCATAGTAAGAAGGTTATGTGTGTGTGTGTGTGTGTGTGTGTGTGTATAATTTTCTTTATTCATTCATTTATTTTAATTTGACCAGAGAAAGAGAGAAGGTGAGAAAATGAGCCATCAGGTCCAGGATTTGAACCACGGTTGGCCATGTGGGAGTCCAGTGCCTCAACCACCATGCCACCTGCTAGCCCTGAGGATCATATATTTTATACTTATGCATCTCCCTTGGCACCTTGCACTATGAAGTCACTTGCCTTTATTTTACTAGAAAAAGTTAAATTTCTTAGAAAAACTTTACTCTCAAACTTTCTTATTCATCTAAACTTAATTTTCCTTTAAAATATTCTACACATAATTCATTCCAGACTGGATTAATCTCTCTTCACTGGTTGTAGCACCCTAAAATAAATACTACATACTAGAATCATACGTATCTGCACTTTCAGTTATTTTCTTTTAATTATTTGGAAATGTGCCCAAACCAGCATTGGTTGCATGAGAAATATTTTTACTTGAAAGTAGCCAATAACTAGTACTCTTGGAGATAACTGGAAAAAAATGTAGATTGTCAAAGAAGTTTGTAAATCATTACTCTGAGGGAAATATACCTAGGTTGGTGCTATAATTATAAATGAGGAACCCCCCCCCTTACATGGCACTATCACTAAATTGTCCCCCCAAAAGAGCTCCTACCTTGAGGAAAGCTATGAGCATCCTCCTGATGTGCTGTAGAAGGCTGGTCTTGGGGTCCACCTGTTTCTTGGTATGGGTCCAGAAAGGATTCTTTAGCAACTTCCTTATCTTTATGTGTCTTAGTAGAGAGGTCTTCAGGCCCAGGTGTTTCTTGGTGTATTTCATGTGAACATTCTTCAGGCTGAGGTGTTTCTTGGTGTATTTCATGTGAACATTCTTCAGGCTGAGGTGTTTCTTGGTGTATTTCATGTGAACATTCTTCAGGCTGAGGTGTTTCTTGGTGTATTTCATGTGAACATTCTTCAGGCTGAGGTGTTTCTTGGTACATTTTAGTTGTACATTCTTCAGGCTGAGGTGTTCCTTGGTATATTTCAGGTGAACAGGCTTCTGGCCTAGAAGTTTCTTGGTATGTTTCAGGTGAATATTCTTCAGGCGCAGGTGTTTCTTGGATTGTTTTATCAGAGGGGACTTTAGGCACAATCATTTCTTTATATATTTTATGAGGAAAGTATTCAGAATCAACTGTTTCTTGGCATGTTTTTACAGAAAGGTCAGTAGGTACAGCTATTTCTTCTTGTGTTTTAGGAAATAAGTTTTCATTCTCATCTATTCTCTGGTCTGGTTCAGAATTGTATTGCTCTGGTTCAGCTGGGTTTTGGTAAGTGTCAATATCATAGCCCTTAGGCACATCTGGTTGGGGGCCTGATTCAGGAGACCTTCCTTCTGGGTCTGTTACATCTTCAGATGATGTAGAAGGAAGGGCTCTGGGTACAGCCTTTCCTTGACACATTTTAGGACTGAGATCTTCAGGGTGAGCCACAGCTTGGCACATTTTGAAAGGATGGTCTTGAAATACAGCTACTTCTTGGCATATTTTAGGAGCAAGGCCTTCAGGTTCAGCCATAGCTTGGCACATTCTGAAAGGACGATCTTGAAGTACAGCTACTTCTTGACATATTTTTGGAGTGAGGTCTTCAGGGTCATCCATAGCTTGGCATACTTTAGGAGAATGGCCTTGAAGTGCGGCTATTTCTTGGCATGTTTTTGGAGAGAGGTCTTCTGGTTTGGCCATAGCTTGGCATACTTTAGAAGAATAGTCTCGAAGCACAGCTATTTCTTGGCATATTTTTGGAGAAAAGTCTTCAAGTTCAGCCATAGATTTGCATATTTCATAAGAATGGTTTGGTACTGCTCTTTCTTGGTTCTCAGAAGATTTTTTCTGGTAAATAATGCTTTCTTCATGTACTTCAGAAATAAGTTCCTCAGGCGCAGCATTTGTGGGAGAGGCTGCCGAAGGAAGGGCTTCAGTTACACCCCCGGGTGGCTCATTCTCTTTTTCTGTAGGTGCCAGTGCTTTCTCCATCACTTCCTTTTCTGTTTGTGACTGAGGCTCCACCTTCAGTTCTGTATTTTGTTGTCTCTTTCTGCCTCTTTGATTTCCTTTTCCTGTTCTCTGTCGCTTGTGTTTTTTCTGTTCCCTGCAGAGATCAGAATTAGTGTCAGCAACAGGACTACAGAATTCAAATAAATGCTCTAATAACAGTTCCAGGTCTCCCTTATTGGACAACCTTGAACAAGTTCATCTCTCTGGACCTCAATCCCTGTGTCTGTACATGAAAAATCTGTGCCAGATGTCCTCAACTGTTATGGAGGAAATGTCCCTTCAGGACTCGGCAACTCTGACCCTTCCCCATCGGTATCCGCCTTTTCGACCGTAGTGCATGTGTGTGTTTGCTAGCATAGACTTAAAGTGTAGTTATGGAGAATACAGAATTCCTAATATAAATTGATTGCTTGGCATTCTGGTCGGATAAGGGAGTCTTCCAAAACTTGTTGGAGATGCATGTTATGAAAAAATTGTGCATGGATTTCAAAAAGAGTTCGGCATCAAAATAAATTTATACTGTCATTCCATTTCTCCACACACCTTTTGTAGTCTCCTCATCCACTATTCTGTAGGTTTTTCATTTTCTGTGAGTTCGCCCCACTCTTCCCTGGGTAAACTGATACAATTGAGTTTCTTGCTCTGCAGTCACATGATGTTTTATATATGGCTTGCTTAGCTCACATGGTGTCCTGTATAAGAATGCTAAGTAACTATATTACACATTAAATGACTTATACTGTAAGCTGGGTCAAGATCTGCAAAAATATTTCTTGAGGTTAAGAAGTTTTGTTTTGTTTTGTTTTTCTTTTTTTTGGAGAGGTTTTTGCTATAGGGCGCGTGTGCTCGCCAGACAGACAGAGAGAGACAGAGAGACAGAAAGAGAGAAATCACCACTCAGGGGGGATGGCCATGCTGCAATCCCTTCTCCTCCATTCTCCTCTCGGGATCTTGGGCACGCACACACACATGCCTGGAGTGAGTCTAAGCCACTGGGTCCAGGACCCGAACCGCAGTCGACAACATGGGAGACCAGCGACATAGCCATTACACTAACTGCTGGTCCCGAGGTTAAGAAGTCTTATGGAAAGGTATACATAACCATATTACACCTACTATTAATTGATTAAAGATCTAGAAGATGAATGAATGGACAGGAAAATTACAATAATGAGAAATGTTTAGGCACTGCAAATATAAACTACAGATGGTTATTACAATTGGGCTGGAGGAGCAGGGAAGATACCATAATAAGCATGTAATCATGTTTTAAAGCTATTGAAATTTTGTTCCATGCTACCTGCTCCATAGAACCTTCAAGACTAAAATGCTTTCCTGGCTTAACACTCTTACGAGGTTTATTGTGTCATGCTAGATGTAAAGAGTGTAGGCTGCAGGATGTGAGGGCAATCTGGCTGCAACATCTGTCACCCCATTGATCGCCAGGGTTGATTCGGCTGATCTGGCTGGCTAGGCGGGTGTCCCCTTCCTCCCTCACCGCTCCATGTGCGTCCCTCCCGAAGCTGCGCGCTCGGTCAAAGAGGACGACCACCCCCGATAGAGGAGGACCCTTCTTCAGTCAAGGGTATACGAGTAGCTGCGCTCCCCTGCTACAACCTCCAAACAAGCTCTCAAGAATGTAGGCTGCATATTGCATAATGCATACTTCATACATTTCTGAATAAACTGCACATTCTTTGGAGGTAAAACCAGTGTTATTTTTATTTTTATAGTTTTCAGTTTCTTGCACAATAAAAAAAAATCTGTGGCAAAAAAATTTTGTTTTTGTATATGTTTAGAATATCCCATAATAAAAGATTGCCTCGCCAAAACCAATTTGAAGTCAATATCCTAAAGCCTAATACATGTCATGGGACTCTCAAAAGGAAATATCATATATTGGGTCGTCTGGACATAAGTCATTCTGCAATAGAAAAATACGTCTTGACTTTCCTGACGACACAATAGAATGACAGGAACTCTGAAGATATGGTTACGGCACCTTTGCATTTGGAGTAAACAAGGTAACAAGATAAATTATAAAATTTTTATTGCTAGGTTAATAAAAAAGATGACATATCTGAATTCTTCAGGAAATATTTTTTTCCTAGATATGAAATCCCAAATACTTTATTATGTGGATTTCTAAGTGAGGAGATCTGAGTATTATACTGTTCCATGTCTTCGCTAATGGTTCTTCATAAAATACAAACATATTTTTTAGCCTCTACTCTTTCATGATCATGGGAAAATCACACATCATGTCTATGCCTTGAGTTTAAAATAGGGTGAATAATATCTGCCCAACTTCATGTGGTGATTGTTAGAATAGCATATAAGGGGCTGGTGAGTGGCATGGTGATTAAAGGCATTGGATTCCCACATGGCTGACTGAAGTTTGAGACCCGGATCTGGCAGCTTGCTTTCTCGCTTTCCCTCTCTATCTCTCTCTCTGTCTCTGCCTGGTCAAATTAAAAAATAATAATAACAAATGGAATTAAATAAGTAAGTAATTCTTTAAAAAAGAAAATAGGATAGCATATAAGACAGCAGGTGGTGTGATGGTTAAGGCACTGGACTCCCACATGACTGACAGTGGTTTGAGTCCTGGACCTGGCAGCTGGCTTTTTCACTTTCTCTCTCTCTCTCTGTCTCTCTCTGGTGAGTGTGCATGCCCTGTAGCAAATTTTAAAATAACAATAATAATAAATAAAATTAAATAAATAAGTCTTTTTAAAAAAAAGCCAGCAGGTAGGGCCCAGCAGGTAGCTTGGTGGTTAAGGCGCTGGACACTCCCACATGGCCGACTACAGTTCAAGTCCCAAACCTAATGCCTTGTTTTCTTACTGTCCCTCTCTCTCTTTGTCTCTCTCTGTGTCTCTGGTCAAAATTAAAATAAATAAATGAATAATTTTTTAGTAACTTACATGAATGAATTATTAAGATACAAATTAGTACTCTAATATTAACATTGGAAAATTTTTTTTACTTTTCTTTTTTTGAGAGATTTTGCTATAGGGCACATGTGCTCGCCAGACAGAGAGAGACAGAGAGACAGAAAGCGAGAAATCACCCCCCAGGGGGGGATGGTCACGCCACAATCCCTTCTCCTCCATTCTCCTCTCAAGATCTTGGGCACGCAAGTACACACGCCAGGGGTGAGTTTAAGCCACTGAGTCCGGGTCTCGAACTGCGGTTGACTACGTGGGAGTCCAGCGACATAGCCATTACACTAACTGCTGGTCCCAACATTGGAAATATTTATAGTACTTCCTTTGTATCAGGCATTGTTTCAAGTCATTTACTTACACTATAATCTCATGTCATCTACAACCTATGAGATAGATACTATTATCTCCATTTTTCAGGTGACAGAACTGAGGCACAGAGAAGTTGAGTCACTTGCCCAAGGTCACTCAGTGGCTAGGGAGCCGGGCTTCGAATCTAGTCATTCTGGCTGTAACATCCAGGCTCTTATCTGTTACACTCTGCTGCTTTGTGAAACTACTCAGGTTTCACCGTGCGTGGTCTATTGTCATGAGACAAGGGGACGCGGCCCTCAGAGGTACAGAGATGTGTCACCAGAGCAGGTCTAGCCAGCTGCCAAGAGGTTCACAGAAGTATCTGCTTGAGTGAACTCCTCGGCCTTATGCCCTCAGCCTGCAAGCTTGAGTACCCAATTCTGTCAGCACACTGAAGCCAGTTCCTTTTATCAGAGGCAGAGCTCATCAGCCAGGCTCAAAAAGAGTGATATGTAAGCAAAAGGTCAAATTTTAAATTAACAGTGAGAAATGCAACATACACATACACGTTAGAGGATGCTTAGGCTGGCAAACGAATGCACTCTTCTCTGTAGGCAAGTACTTGGGAAGCCATGCAATGACCAGATGGTGGCTTAGTGGGCAAGGAATTAGGAAAGCCATTGGATAATCTTCAGTGTGTCACCTGCCACATTCAGGGCCCGAGCACTGAAATTTCTATTGTAAAATATATAGGCATTACTGGAATAAAAGAAAACTTCTGCAAAATTATGTGCTAAAAAGTGACAGTAGTTGTGGGGAGAAAATAGGTTCTGAACAAATAACTCAAAACCTATGCACCCTTTTGGGACCAGCAGTTAGCGTAATGGCTATGTTGCTGGACTCCCATGTAGTCGACTGCTTTCGCTTCCCAGACCCGGTGGCTTAAAACTCACGCTGGGCGCGTGTTCATGCGTGCCCAAGATCCCGAGAGGAGAATGGAGGAGAAGGGATTGCAGCGTGGCCATCCCCCCAGGGGGTGACTTCTCGCTTTCTGTCTCTCTGTCTCTCTCTGTCTGTCTGGCGAGCGCACGGGTCCTATAGCGGAAAACCTCTCCAAAAAAAACCTCTCCATAGCATGCGCCCTATGCAGCCTTTTCACACTAACAAAAATAAGGGTGGGAACCAGGAGAGATCATTTGGATTGCCAGACAGGCAGCTTACTGTGGCTGGAGACTACTTCAAGGGGAGGTGAAAATGCAAATAAATAAATAAATAAATAAAAATAAAAATAAAAATAAAACAACAGTGTTTAACTGCAGTCTTACAGAAGCTGAGACCTGAGCTCTGAGCCAGCAGGGCTGCCGTTAAGTTAGACAGAGGGGAAGTGCAACCTGCCACAGGGTGGAGAGCTAAGCACACTGGCGTCGTGCTTCACCAGGGAGGGAAACCCGGATGCCTGCTGGAAAGGATCCTGCCACTACTGCAGCCAAGCAGGATCCAGCAGCCAAGATGAAGCCTTTTTTCCTTTCCTG